GAAACTGGAACATCTTATTCGCAGACATCAGATATCTATAGCACAAGGGGATTTGATATTATTCCGCCGTCTCAGAAATCACACTAATCGCGAGAGAAAGACCTGCCGCTCAAAGTTTTACGAAGCTAAAGTCAATGAATTGAAAGAGAGTGCCCCAGCAAAGTGGTGGAAGGAAATAAAGAAACTTAGTGGAATGACGGAACAATTCACAACCCCCGAAGATATTATATCCCAACTGCATAATGTGGAATTTAGATCGACTAATTCGACGTCTTGTGACCCCGACCCTCACCAACTAACTCGCCAACTTGATAAATCAGCATTTCTGGCACCGACGAAAGACTTCAATCCCCTACCTCTAAATAGTCCGCAACGAAATGTCGACGAAGATACAACAAATTTCCAAGTTACCGAATTTCAAGTCTTTGAAAGCTTATCAACCTTGAACTCAAGCAAATCCATGGGACCAGATGGCATCCCTGGTTGAGTTCTTAAAGAAAACTCGGATATTTTAGCACAACCCATTGCGGACATCATAAATAAATCATACAGCGAGACCCATCTCCCATTACGCCCTGGAAGTCCGCAGAGGTTGTACCAATCCCGAAGGAAAAACCAGTGCGTGACGTAAACCATCATCTGCGACCCATTTCCCTAACCTCGATTGTGTCGAAAGTCGCCGAGGACTATGTTGTGGTCACTTGTGGACTGTTTTGTCAAACCAGCCGTACTTAAAAAAGTAGATCCCAGTCAGTACCGAACGATTCCTAATTCAAGCACCGTCCATGCCCTCGTAAGCATGCTTCATTCTTGGAGCGGATCAACAGACGGAAACGGCGGATGAACTAGAGTGATGCTGTTTGACTTTAGAAAGGCCTTCGACCTGATTGACCATCACTTGTTACTTCAGAAACCAAAATCATACGATCTACCCCAATGGACAATTGATTGGATAAAATATTTTTTGACCTGCAGAAAACAGCGGGTCAAACTGAACTATGATTGTTATTCTGAATGAGAACCAGTTACAGCCCTAGCAGGTGTCCCCCAAGGAACAAATCTTGGCCCTGCATGGCTATTCACAATAATGTTCAACGACTTTGTGATTCCCACATCTGATATGTGGAAGTTTGTCGACGATTCAACTTTATCGGAAGCAATCAAAAAAGGAGATACAAGTTACATTCAAAATGAAGTTGATCAATTCACTATCCAAGCAAAATCTAATAAATTCCAACTAAATGAGGGAAAGTGCAAAGAACTACGTATTGGATTTAATCGGAATACACCGCAATTCGACCCTATCCTAATTAATAACAACCCTATCGAAGTCGTTGAATGTGTAAAGCTCCTTGGTCTCTATGTCTCCAATAACCTGAAGTGGAATAATCATATTCACGAAATCATCAAAAAAGCACTGCCTCGTACCCAGGCGCTTTAAATAATTACAATACATGAAGTATTCGGGTAGGTAGGCGACGCGCGAAGGGGCTGTTGGGAAGGGTGCGTGCTGGGGAGCGCCTGGCAGTTCTTGTATACTGTCATGGCGGGAAAGCATGGAATTTAATACAAAACGTTACCATATCGTCATATACTGTGTGTAAAACCTTATTTTTTGACGAAGAGTCGAATTGAACGCCATTGGCAAATAATAATAAATTTGTAGATGTTTGATGACATGCAAATGCGCGAAAAATTATGAGTAAATTACATGACAAGTTTACCGTGCGAATATTTCGAATATGTCATTCGGTATTACATGGAGAATAATAGAATGCTATCAGTTGCTTAGTATGAAATAGTAACAGAGAGATGATTAGTTAGAAAGTCATATAATTGCTTTTGTATTAATAAATTCTTTAGCTGAAGGCTCGATCAGTCGATCACAATGCCAATGGCAATTTCTATTAGCCTAAATGTATACTGTAAACAAAAGCCCAAGTAAATAAAAATTCACAGCCGTAAAGTTTGAAATATTTATTACAACAGTGCAATTTTATAGTTTGTACCTTTACATAGTTATAGCTTACAGATCTAGTTCCTGCAAGTCTAGTTCTTCAACGCTTCGGTTGTTGACATAAATATTGGAATTTCCATGGCCTTTAAATAAGGCATATATCATATATACCAAGAATAACAGCATGAATTCACGCCCAGATGACAGAAGAATATTAACATTAGTCAATTCGACAAAAACAAGTAGCAAAAAAACGTAAACGACAACGAAATATCACAACTTGCAAGAAATCTACTTTCTTGCAAGAAATCGACCAAGAACTGCCAGGCGTCTCGCAGTTCAAGTGCACTCTTCCCATCAGCCCCTTCGTCCATCTATTCCCACTACAATACTTCATGTAAACTCGTCCTATGCGCATCACTGTTTTTATACAAAGAGACCACTGGGTACGAGGCAGAAAAAAGCACGGAAAAGACTGTTCTTCCTATAAGCCAATTAAAAAATCTAATATCGGCATCACGGAACTAGTTCAATTCTATGCTGTTTGCATCCGACCAATTTTGGGGTATGCATCCCCAGTCTATTCCACGACAGTCTAACCGCCTATCTATCAAACGATCACGAAATGATACAAAAAAGAGCTCTGAGGTTAATATTCCCTTGGGTCCCATATGATGAGGCACTTAGTGTTGCCGGCCTTCAGCAATTAAGTACACGAAGACAAAGATTTACTGACAAACTTTTCCATGAAATAGAATCTAATGATAACCATAGATTGCATAACTTACCACCTCCTCGTAATTTGAACCATTTTAGTTTAAGAACAAAACATAAATTTAATGTTAACTTCGAGACAGAACGACATAGGAAAACTTTTATTGTACATAATTCATTAAAATTTGAAGATATAATTAAATTTAAATATGAGTATTTATTAGTCTAATACACCATGTAAAAGCGATTGAGGCTTATTTTTGTAACAGTTAAAGTGCATATGACACAAACGAGATTTTTGCTTTTTTGGTAGATTAATATGTTATATAAATATTCATAAATGTAAAACAGGTCAGAAAATAATTAGGTGCCTAAATTTTAAGCACAAACAGAGTAAATTATGGTTAAATATTTGTCCGTGGTCTGGGGACTAATTTGTATGTATCGTGACGTCATTTTGGTTGCAAAATCTGACAAAGGCTTGTTTTTGAAGTATTAAAAACATGGTCAGCTGCGACGACGAAAGCAATTTTGACAATTCCCATGAAAGCGACGAGTCGGCATCGGTCCAGTCATCAAACGACGATGAAGAAGACACTTTAGTTGTTTACAGTGAATACCTTCCGTATCAGGACGAGCCGATTGTAGACAGTTCCGATAGTAGTAGCATTGGCGAAAGTGAACACGAAGGTGAAAAAGATTTGGACGGATTGACACCTGAAACACTGGTAGTGTTGTATATTTCATACGGCCGCCATCTTTTAATAATCTCATGCAACGCTGATCTCTAACAATTAACTGAATACACCCCTTCCAACGTCAACAAAGGATAACTAAACAAAATATGAAACTAAGAGTTCTTTAAAGTAACTGTCCCGAAAACTAAAAGTCTTTATGGGTCTTTAAAGGTCTATAAGTCTCTAAGTAATGAATAATGTTGTCCTGTGTCTACAATATACGACCGAGGTGATGAATGATGGTCGACCACAGTTGCTTGTCTCCATAGCTTCGACCCTGGTTCTGGTCGGATTCTTACGTGTTCACCAGGTTTCAGTGGGGATAGTTCTTTTGTCCCATGGCGGTTATGGTATTAGGTTTGCTTTTCCTTTGCATGGCGCATTCGTCTCTTGATATCATTCGTGTTATATGCTTCGGGCTTTAACAAACTGCGTGCTATCAGGAGGTTAGTTCTCAGTCTTCTCCCCATACATAGCTGTGATGGTGACAGATCAATGCCTGCTAGTGGTGTTGCTCGATAGACCAACAGGGGTATGACTAAAAGGAGAGTTACCAACCGGAGAGTTATCTCGGAGAGTTATGATTTCGGAGAGTTATGTTCAAACCACGCCCACTTTCCCTAACGACCACACCCAATTTCTTAACTCTCCCGACGTTTCCTTGAACTAACATGAGAGAGTTCTGTTTGACGTAATTACTCTCTCTCTCGTTAACATTATGAAGATGTTAGAGAGTTATTATTTTTCATACCTCTCCGCGTTCACGATTATGGCAATGAATAGAGGTAAGTCATTTTTGGAAACCATAGTAAAGCTTGTTTCTTCAGGTTTTCATCTTATATTTTGGCACTTAAGTTTGTAGCGTGTCAATAGCGTGCGTCCAAACAGGAAATACAACTTGATTCGGTCAAAACAATGAGATGCCTGCATCAGAAGGGTCAAAGTACCTCCAGAAGCATGCTTTGACGTGTATTTGGCAGTAAATACGGTAAGCATAGTTGCAAGCAAGTTAAGAAAATTGAATCTTTCAGGAATTCAGGTTTTGGAAATACTTTCCCAGATCAGCCAATAGGGCATTATATTGGAAAGGTTTTCTAGTTCTATCTCATACGAGAACTGTATCTGAATGCTGGTCTTGCTAGATAATCCAAGTGAGCATGTATATAAACATTTACATATAGATGAACTTGGTAAGAACTAAAGTACTATTAGTTTCGAGCTCTTCATTGCCACAATCATGAACGCGGAGAGTTATAAAAAATGATAACTCTCTAATATCTTCATAATGTCAACGAGAGAGAGTTACGTCAAACATAACTCTCTCATGTTAGTTCAAGGAAACGTCGAGAGAGTTAAGCAATTGGGTGTGGTCGTTGGGAAAAGTGGGCGTGGTTTGGGCGTGGTTCGACCATAACTCTCCGAAATCATAACTCTCCAAGATAACTCTCCACTTCATAACTCTCCGTTTAGCCGGTCCCGACCAACAGGGCTTTGTGCTTGTCATTGTTCTTTCTCCACAATGATTTAACGATTTTTACTGCCGCCTCTGCTTCTCCGTTTGCTTTAGGATGTTTTGGACTTATCAACACGTGTTAGAAGTTGTAGGCTTTCGCAAAATTCTTAAATTCTACGCTTGTGTACTGTGTGCCACAGTCTGTCGTCAGCCTTTCTGGAATACCATGTCTCTCAAAGTGTCCTTTTAGGGCTTCGATGGTACTAAAAGCTGAGAGGTCGTTGAGTTCTGTGAATTTAATGTACTTGGAGTAGTAATCTACTGACAGTACATAGTTTTTGCTCTTGAACGTAAATATATCAGATGCTGCTTCGGCGCCCATGGATAATCTGGAGTCTTGCTCGGCATCATCGGTTCTTTCTGTTGCTCTGCTGCATAGTCATGACAAGTACTGCAGTCCTTTACTTCCGCTTCGACTTGAGAACTCATGCCCGGCCAATACAGCGCTTCTCGTGCTCTCTGCTTAATTGGATTTCACAATTCCTTGGTAAGTCTCGTGGACCAGCTCTATCATTTCCTGTTGCATTGATGGTGGTACTACGATTCTTATTCCTCGGTAAATTACGCCGTCCAATATTGCTAATTCATCTCGATTGTCCCAGAATAGTTTGACGCTGTGAGGCACTTGCTGCTTTGTGGTGGGCCATCCTACCTGGATGACAGCATACAAATCGTGCAGCTCATTCGCAGTTCTTTGTTGCAATTCCTGGTATTTGTCTTGCGTGACAGATATTCTCTCAAGCATGTTGACTTAAGACTGGCCCTGCTGAGCGTATCTGCGATGACTTGCTTCTTGCCAGGAAGGTATTCAACTTTCAAGTCATATCCTTTCACTTTCAACATCATGGTCTGCAGCCGCAAGGGTGCTGACAGCAAAGGTTTGCGAAACATTGTCTCTAATGGCTTGTGATCAGTCTGTACTACAGTTTCCTTTCCTAGGATGTATTCTCTGAATTTGCCTGTGCTGAACACAATCGCCAACATTTCTTTCTCAATAGGTGACCAGTTTAGCTCGGATGTACGAAGCTTTCGGGATTCATACGCTATGGTTTTGCCTTCTTGTAGAAGGACAGCACCGACTGCATTCTTGCTAGCGTCACATTGTATCTTGGCATCCTTCTTGACATCATAATAGGACAGTATAGGTGCTGTGCAGCATAGATCTTTGATGCGTTGAAAAGCGTTTTCCTGTGGTTTGTCACAGTGGAAGACTGTATCTTTCTTTGTTAGGTGCCGTAGTGGCTCTTCTACCTCAGCCAAACGTGGTAAGAACTTGGCTAGGTATTGAACTGATCCCAGAAAACGGCGGACATTATCTTTGTTCTCGGGTGCTGGCATGCATGTTTTTCATCGCTTCGACTTTCATGGGATCCGGTTTGAGCCCATGTGCTGATATGAGATGTCCCACGTACGGCACTTTCTCTTTCCTGATCTTCACCTTGTCGAAGTTTAACTTCAAGTTGCAGCTCTGAGCACGATCAAGGACTTGTCGTAAGACAGCATCATGATGCGCTACGTCACGGCCAGCTATCAGAATATCATCCATAATGGCATATGCATATTTTATCCCCTCTAACATGTCATCCATTGCTCTCTGGTACATCTCTGGTGCGGATTTGATGCCAAAGGGTAGCTTTAACCAACGGTATCGACCTAGCGGTGTGTTCATCGTTGTAAGGAGACTGGATTCATAGTCGATCTTCATTTGAAGATATCCACTCTTGGCATCCAATACTGAGAACACTTCGGCTCCGGGGATTTTCGTGGTAATTTCTTCCACTGTTTTACTAGGGTAGTGTTCTCGCTTTATCGCTTTGTTGAGGTCGGATGGGTCGATGCAAATGCGGATCTTCTCTCCTTTCTGTGCGACAACCATGGAATTAACCAAATCTGTGGGCTGGGTTACTTTTGCCAAATGCCCCTCTTTTTCCATTTCTTTTAGCTTGCCTGTAATGTTTGGTAGGAGCGCTGCGGGTTACCTTCTTGGACCATGTACTACAGGGGTCACTGTTGGGTCAATCTTAATCGAGTATGTCCCTGGTATCGATCCTGTTGCATTTTCCAAATCTGGATGTTGGATAAGAAGCTCTTTAAGGTTGTGGTCGATTTCGTGTATTCGCTTTACTAGGTTTAAGGCTTTGCACACTTTTCCAGATAAGATTGGATTATGTGCCTTGTCAATGATGAAGAATTTCACCTTGATCTCTTTTTCCTTGTGTTTCACTTTTAGTGTGGTGCATCCACTGGGCACAATCTGGTGTTGGCTATATGACACAAGTCTCTTGTGTGTTTTCTTAATCCGTGCATCGGGAGCAACATTTTGTAACTGCTTAGCGGTCATGACACTAGCCTGTGCACCTGTATCCAGTTGGCATTGCAATCTCCCATGGCCAACGTACTTGAACAGTTTCCCACCACTCGTTATCTCTCGGCATGTCGTTTTCATTACCAACCTCATGGATCCTCAGGCTTTTGAGGTGCAGTAAATGCAAATTTTTGGCTTGCTGGTATTCATCATCAGAACTGTCCGTTTCTTCACTAGAGTAGGAATCTTTACCCATGCCGTGTATTTTCTTTTCTGCTCCTCTACACACTCTACCAAAGTGTCCCATCTTTCC